TTGAGACAGAGAGAGACAGAGCATGAACGGGGGAGGGTCACAGAGAGAGGGAGACACAGAATCTGAAACAGGCTCCAGGCTCTGAGCTGTCAGCACAGAGCCCGACGCGGGGCTCGAACCCACGGACTGTGAGATCATGACCTGAGCCGAAGTCGGACGCTTAACCGACTGAGCCACCCAGGCGCCCCCAGAGTTTGTTTTTCAAAAGCTCAACAGAAGATTCTTAGGCACAATGACATTTGAGAAGCACTGGACTAGATCATCTCTGAAGGCCTTTCCAGCTCTTTAATTCTGTTCTGTGTAGAGCGTGTAAGGGTTTTAATGAAAAGAAAATGGTATTAGAACACAGTGGCCCAACGACACTCTGATGTGTGGGGTTTAAGACTGTCATACACTGCGCTTAATACTCATGAGTGGATGTCAGAGGGCAAATGCTCCTTACTAGGGTTGCCCGTATATATCAGCACCCCAGTTGAGTGAGAGTCCAGCTCGCTTGTCACTTTGTGAAAACACACAGCTACCTCTATGGTAATTCTGCCTCCATCATGTGATTCAGCTAGAGATTCGGCAACAGCAGGCAACCAAAGAAGCAACATTAAGCATATTATTAGCATTGCATTAATGGAACAAGGCAAAAAGATTTTCATGGCACTGTAGCAGATGGAAAGGATTGTGGGGCACCGGGGTGGCTAAGTCGGTTGAGCTCAGGTCATGATCCCAGGGTCGTGGGATCGAGCCCTGTGTCAGGCTCCACACTGACTGAGTGTGGAGGCTGCTTAAGATTCTTTCCCTCCCTTTGTCTCTCTCTCTTTCTCTCTCTCATTCTCAAAATTAAAAAAAAAAAAAAAAAAAAGAAGACAATAGAAAGGTTTGTTTTCTATGGCCTGGAGCTAGATTTGCTGCTAGTTGAACGTGAAGATCTCCCTTGAGGTCTCTCTTCCGTAAGATCTGAAAGACTGAAGAATCTGGAATTATTTTCTGAGTTTTTTCTGCCGTGCATTTTTAGATTACATACAAGAGGTGAATATATGCTTAGACCTGTTCACAGTACCTGCGGTAATGGCACGGTAATGCCAGGTGATATTACTATACTAGGAATAGTTACAGGTGAATTCTTCTAGACATTGCAACTGTCCTTTCTCTTGCTCTGCATTTTGCTCTGGTGAATATGCATTCACGTCGCAGACTGACCTAGGTTCGAGTTCCCGGTGGCGACTGTTTTTATACCTGATCAGCCCTAAGCTCTCGAGGGTAATCACTTAAATCCATCTCCCCTAATCTTCCTTACCGGGCAGTGAGGTTTGAAAAACAAAACGAGACAAAACAAGAAGGAGCCAGAAGAGTTGAAGGGCAAGCACAGCTTCTTGGGCTCCTGGTTTTTTTTTTTTCTTTTTTAAAATTTTTTATGTTTATTTCTGAGAGAGAGAGAGTTTATTTATTTCAGAGCATGAGTGGGAGAGGGGCAGAGAGAGAGGGAGACACAGAATCAGAAGCAGGCTCCAGGCTCTGAGCTGTCGGCACAGAGCCCAACGCGGGGCTCGAACCCACGAACCGTGGGATCGTCACCTGAGCCGAAGTCGGTCGTTCAACCGACTGAGCCACCCAGGCGCCCCTCGTTTTCTCATTTGTAATCCATGCCAAGATGCCCTCCTTCCTCGGTCTAAAGTGTCTGGGGAAACTGTGCAGCTCTGAGAAGAGCGGCCTGTCCTCCTCCGAGAGAGCCAGCACCACGGGCTCGTGCAGAAGGACGCAGGTTGTCGAGGATGCGCGTGTCACCAGCACCCCCCAGCCTGCGCACAGGCGTGCCACCATCACTCACTTGTTGTACCTGCACCCCGAGGCCTACTGCACGCTGGAGCACTTGATTAGCAACTTGGATCCTTCCGGTAAGTGAAGGAGCCCACTCTGCTCACGGCTTCGTGTTTCATGATTGGCTTCCGTAAGGAAGTACTGTGTAGAGCCGTTCGGTACTGTGTTCCTCAAAAGAAACACTATCCCTTGTATATAATTGATGGGGTGAGGGTGGGAGGAAAGGAGAATGTGAAAAAAGTACAGCTGCAGAGCTAAGTTCTGAGGATATTTTTGTCTATGATTTTATAATCTCAGTAACCAGGGTGTCTCTTTCCAAACTTGGTACTCACATTCGTCTATAATAGGAAGCGTGAGGAAAAGGAAAGCTCTCTATCCACGCACGCTGTTCTGTCATATGTTAAGGCGTGGATCAGAAGGATACATCCGAGGCAGCCAATCGACCATGGGAAAGAATGACCTACATGAAGGCGAGATCGCAGTTGTGTTACCGCCCAGGGTGTGCTCCTCTTGTGCAATGTTTAGAAACAAAGATCTGTAATGTTTGGAGAACGCGTGGAGGCTTCTCTTCAGGGAAGCGCGTTAGAACGGGGCCACTCGTCCACCTCCAGAGATGGAGCAGATGTAGCCTATAGGCAAGAGTTTCCGCACCAAGGACTTGGCACACTTGGAATGTGTGATTGATGAAGATGGTACCTAGTTGCTCGCTCCTGGTCAAAATCAGGCTAGAATCAGTACGGGAGGCAAAGGCTATTAGACACGGTCCCTGCAAACACGGGGACATGAGCCAAAGGAGCCAGAAAGTCAAATACATACCTGGTGATTCTTGGACAGCTAAGAGGAAGGCAGCGTTGGATTAAGGCGAGGTGAGGTAGGTGAGTCAACCTATATTGGGGTGTTTTATTTTGCTTTTCACAATTAATTTTTAACAGCTTTTCTGAGATATAATTCATACACCATGCAATTTCCCCATTTGAAGTATACACGATTTTAGTATATTCACCGATATACACTGACGTGGGCCACCATCGTCACGGTGAATTTTGGAATATTTGTGTTGTCTCAGAAAGAAACACTGGACCTTTCGGTATTATCCCACCACCCTCCCGTCTCCAACCGCACCCTTAGGCTTAGGCAACCAGTAATCTACTTTCTGTCTCTATAGATTTCCCTATTCTGGACATTTCGTATGAGTGGAACCATATGACATGTGGTCTTTTGTGCCTGGCTTCTTTCTCTCAGCATGTTTTCAAGACCCATCCATGTTGTGTCATATATCACTGCTTTGTGCCAATAGTGGTGGCTAAATATTATTGCACTGCACGGTTAAGCCACATTTGGTTTATCCATTCATCGGTTGATGGACATCTGGGTGGTTTCCACCATTTTGGCTTTTGTGAATAATGCCACTATGAACACTCATGTACAAGTTTTTGTGTGGATGTATGTTTTCATTTCTCTTGGGTGTATAGACAGGAGGGAGACGCGTGGGTCCCGTGATAACCATGTTTAACCTTCTGAGGAACTTCCGGGCTGTTTTCCAAAGCAGCTACACCACTTTACATTCTTACCGGCAGCATATGGTGGCTGCAACTTCTCCCCATCCTTGCCAGCACTTGTAATTATCTGACTTGTGATTCTACCCATCCTAGTGGGGATGCAGTGGTATTTCACTGTGGCTATACTGAGTGTTGGCTGGGATGGGGAGGAGTGGCCAGCAGATCAGCGCGAAGGCAGGACCGTGTGGGGACCTGACAGATGCTGACGGGATGGTTCCTTGGTTCTCTCATTCTCCACTTCATCCTTTTCAGGGGAGCCTAAGTGGGGGTGGAGAAACCATGACCTCTGCTCCCAGCCACCTCATTAGCTACCCTAGAAGGACTTTATTCAGAACCAGCGGACCACACCTCTTGCAGTTCAGGCTGAGAGAGGTGCCCTGAACTGCAAGATATCACACCTCCATACTGGCAGATACCCAAATCCCTTTACTGAGGGAAAAACCCAGTCTATTCCACAGCCAAAGATAAAAACTAAACATGTAGGTTTCTCTCGGAGCTAATACTTTATTGTGAACGTTGTTTGGTGCTTCTACTGAATGCCTCCCCTGAAAGAGATTGGAATTGGAATTTGGAATGAGCTGTTGACACCCATGAAAGAGATAAGGTCTGCTGGTGGGAGAAGGCAGGAAGTCAAGGGGAGACCAGTAAACTGTGGTTGAGTGAGAGCATGCTGGACAATTGCTTGTCAGTAGGTTCGATGACATGGGAACAAGAGAACAAACCGTATTAGAGAGAGCCCTGGGTAGAGGAAAGAATAACCATCATTGGGATATCCATATCTTAGTGAAGGCAGATAAGGAAATCTGGGGGATCGGTTTAGTGTGTGGCTTTGGAGTTGGACCTTCCAGAATTTCAATCCCAGCTCTTCAACTTACTAAATGTGTTATTTGGGGAAATTAGTGTCTCTAAGTCACAGTTTCTCTATTTTAGAAGGAAGAATGCATACCTTCTGAATGCTGTGAGTAGGTCCACCTCTAGGATATATGAGTCCCTGGGCAAATAGTGTTTTGTGGAGCCCCTGTGTACATGAACACTCTGAGTCACCGCAAATCAATGTGTCAACAGCCTGATCTTGTTCAATCATGGGAAAGTAATATCATGCCGGCCTGAAGGAGTGATCACTCATCAAAATCCCTTCCTGGAATCAAGTCAGCTCCAGGCCCCTATGATAATCCCATTGACAGGAGTCCTAGAGCTCCTCCGGGAGCTCCTCCAGATGCCCCCAGGGCATCTGGTCAACCTCTCCCCACCCCACCCCCCCCCAGTTCCCCCTTGCACAGCATGGGAGAGACAGAGAGGATCATCAGCGAGAGCTCCAAAGAGCAGAGCAGGCTAGGATGCCCCACCCGGACATCACTGCTGGCCCTAGCTGATCCCAGGCACCAGAAGGGGACTTAGACATTTTTGAGGGAGGTGAGGTTTGGGACCAGGGGCTGGGTCTAAGGGCAATGTTGATTATGGGGATTCAGTGAGCACATGCATCTCCCAGCTGTGTGGTATCGTGGCGCATAGAAGCATCCACTAAATTTTAGCTACGATAATAATACGATAAAATAGTTTATTATTTAAAAAATAATTGCTATTGTTTGTCTTCCACTGCTGTGAAGGAATAAAGGCCCAGACTTTGTGCTGGTGGGGCCCAGGGCAGTACATGAGGTGAGATTCCCAAGAAGCCACCATGTGTGCTCAGAATATCCCGTCTAAGACAGGTGCTTGGAGGAAGTGCCCCCTCCCGCAGCAATGTATTAGCAGTATTAGCAAAGCCAAGTGCTCAGAAGCAAGCAGCTCCCGGCAGGATGCTCGGGGAATTTGGCAAAGGCCTCCTGCAGCTGCCAGAAAGACCTCAAGATGCTACAGCATCCTGTTGTTGTCTGGTGCTCAACTATTATTTATTTTTGAGAGACAGAGAAAGAGACAGAGCGCAAGTGGGGGAGGGGCAGAGAGAGGGAGACACAGAATCTGAAGCAGGCTCTCGGCTCCGAGCTGTCAGCACAGGGCCCGACGCAGGGCTCGAACTCACGAACACACGGCGAGATCATGACCTGAGCCGAAGTCGAGCGCTTAACTGACTGAGCCACCCGAGTGCCCTTCAACTCCTACTTTGAGTTGTACAGGGCTCCATGCTCTTCAAAGTGTCCCTACGTATATCTTGCCTTTGTCACGCTCAAAACAAGCCTTGGAAGTCAGTAGGCAAGGAACTGTTTGGTCCATTTAAGAGCAGGGAGGGAATTGGTCCAAAGATGGGACACGGCAACAAAACAAACATACAAGTGAATGTGCAAAATGGCTTCTGCATGTGGATATGACTCTCTCTCTCTCTCTGATCATCAACGAAGATTCTAGAAGAATGAATGAAGCTATCCTTCACTGAGGGCCTGCTAGATCTCAGGCACTGTGCCAATCGCTTTATAATGTTTCCTCATTAAGTATTCATAATAACTCAACAAAGGGAGTACTGCTTTTATCCTCACTTTATAGGTGGGGAAACCAAGGCATCTGATGTGAAAAGAAACCTGCTGAAAGTCACAGAGGTAGTGAGTGGAAGAGCTAGACTTGGACTTGATACCCAAGTTTGGGGTCTTACCCATTTTACTGCATGGCCTCAGCCCTATGAGCCTGAGGACAGATCATCCATGAGATCTGGTGAGTTTCGGCGCTCTTAAAATTTGTTTCTGGTAGGGCCGACTAAGTACTGTAGCAACTCAAATGTTATGACTTTCTTATAAAATAAATTGTTTTTCCCAGGAAAATTGGGAAATATTTCTTTTTCCTGGTTCACAAATACAAGCTATCTGTGTGGGTTTTTCTCTTTCTTTTCCTGTAGGAACTTAGAGTAGTTTTTGAAACTGTGTTTCTTCCTTGAAAAAAAATTTTTTTAACATTTATTTAATTTTGAGAGACAGAGCGTGAGTAGGGGAGGGGCAGAGAGAGAGAGGGAGACACAGAATCCGGAGCCGGTTCCAGGCTCTGAGCTGTCAGCGCAGAGCCTGACGCGGGGTTGCAACCCACGAACCGCGAGATCATGACCTGAGCCGAAGTCGGACGCTCAACCAACTGAGCCACCCGGGTGCCCCAAACCTGTGTTTCTTTCGGTCTCTCTGAGCTACTGCGTCTGGTAAAAATGAAGGAGCATATTTAGGGCAAGTATCTTCTTGACAAACAGGAAGAGACTGGCACTGTTTTCAAAAGCCCTAAGGATATCTGGAAAGGGTTCAGTGATTATGTTGTCAGCTGAGTCCAAATCCCAAAGCAGAATGTTCTGGACTGGAGACCAGGGACCAAAGTAGACTTGGCAGTCCTCTCCCCAGAAAAATAATTCGTATCCCTGAAGATAGAAAGGTGTTTTTGCTTTGGTTCAAGCACCTGCTGTGTTCTCCTCATTATGTTTACTAGAGCCCTAGGGGCTGTCTTCACTTGGGATGGTCTCCCCAAGACTCAAACACTCGCATGACTGAGAGAACCTCCTGGGTGTTTGCACACTCCTGTTTCTTAAAGTGATATCAACCTGTTTTCAAACT